CTGAAAAAAAAATTTATAGGTTAGTTTATCATGTTAGAAACATGGTTAGCACATTTCCCAAGTTATACATGGAACATTGCTCTGATACCATTAAATGTAATATTATACATATATAATAATTATGTACATTATATTATTAATATTATTAAAGAAAATTTTATAAACTTGCTTACATATAACACTTTATATTTGCATCATATATTAAACAATTTTTTTTACAATAATGTACTTACTTTAAAACTACTTATTTCTTACACTAATTTTATAATGTTTACATATCGGGTTGATACAAGTTCACTATAGGATTAACATGACTTGTTGGAGGTAAATAAAAAGTGACTACTATCTGGCCATCTATGATAACGGGATTTTGTTGGGTTGGTGAAAATATAAAAGTTGATAATCCTATCTCTTGAAATGTAACGACATTTGTAGATGCGTCCATAGCCCAATTGGTACCTGAAAAAATTGCATTAATAACGGAAGAGAAAGGGTCTGGTACGGTTGGTAGGTCCATCCATTTTTTAGGTTAAATACCTCTTTTGGTCCCTTATAATGTTTTTTTGTTTCAATTTAGTCCCACTTTAATTTTTTGTCTCAATTTGGTCCCCAATAACTTAAATTAGTGCAATTTAGGACTTCTGCCCAAATGATTTAGACGGAGTTAACTGTTGGCCACGTGGCATCTACGTGGATGCCACGTGGATGCTCATGTGGAGACCAAAATCCCGAAAAAACCTTAAACCAAAACGGCCCGTTCTGAATCCAGAACGGGCCGTTCTGATTTTAGAACGGGCCGTTTTGGTTTCAGAATGGCCCGTTCCAGAACGCCATGCTTTTTATTGTATTTTTTTTTATTATATCTATATTAATAAATATATAATAAATAAAAAATACAATAAATTAATATTCATTTATGAATGAAACTAAAAAAAAATCAAATAAGATAAGACCTTCCAAAATATTTTTTTGATTTGAATTTATCCAGTTCAAAATCTTGACTAAAATGCCGCAATGTATTTCAAAAATTGAAAATAAAATTCAAGGTTTAGGGGTACCTCCTCAAGAACTGGTTGTTATTGTTGGGGTACAACGTCAATGACTTCAAGGAAAAATACTGTTTCGTTTTATCCTTGACTGTATAGTGTCAATTTGGTAGTAAGTGGTTCACTCTAGTTTGACTAACAATAAAATAAAACTTGTTACCATTGTCCTTAGTGATACATTGCATCATCGTTAATGATATACTGTATAACCCAAATGTTTAACAATTGAAGTTATTAATCCTCATTAACAATATTACCAAATCTAGTGTTTGAAATGCTTTGTATTTGTTTTTTTGTGCACAAAATTCTGGACCAGAACGGCCCGTTCTGGTTACACTATTGGTGTGTTAATTTTGGACATGGAACGGCCCGTTCCAGGTGCAAATTTTACACACCAATAGTGTAACCAGAACGGGCCGTTCTGGTTCCAGGTGTATTCAAGTATTTTTTGATCTACCTACGTGGCATCCACTTGGCATCCAAGTGGCCACCAGTTAACTCCGTTTAAATCATTTAGACGGAAGTCCCAAATTGAAACGATTTAAATTATTGGGGACCAAATTGAGACCTAAAATTAAAGTGGGACTAAATTGAAACAAAAAAATATTATAAGGGACCAAATGAGGTATTTAACCTATTTTTTATTATAATTAATTAAATATTTTACACAAGAAAAATAAGGAGTGAGAACAATTATCCAATAAATATTAATAACAATATGTATAGAAATATTTAATATTAATAAATATGTATTAATTATTCTAAAATTTTAAAAAAAAATTGAATTATACTTGTAGTGACTAGTCAGGATAAATGAGCATTGTCATAATATCAATCAACAAAAGGATGTTTTACCTTTAATCATTACTTATTTAAATCCCCAAGGTTAAACCTCCAACTACAATTTAATTCAAACTTTCTTTCTTATGGCCATAAGATAATTTTAATAAAATTATATTATAGTTAATCATAAAAATAAATTGCACTAAATAATGTTAATATTTATTATTAAAATAATGTTTACGTAAATGAAATATATTAAGAGTACCAATGATATAAATAAAAATGACAATCATTATAAAATAATTAAACAATATAAAATATGAACACCTTAACAATTATTATGGATAAAAATAATCATAGATTAAGCAAATAAATGAGGTTAGGGACACCTCACTAAGTAAATATACACAAAATATAACATAAATAATAAATAAATAAATAAACATAGTAGTATATAAAATTTTAAAGAGATAAAGTTCTCCTCCCCCTTACCTTAAGGTTGTTTATTTTTCTTTCTTTTATGCCAATTTGTTTACCTGGTAATAGATAGATACTACATGTGTATATTTATATATTTTGAATAAAAACTTATTTAATTACTAAAATATGTATATATATAGAGACACAACATGACTTGAACCTGTGACATGTACCTCATGGTCTTTATGTATAACTAGACAAACCATTAAACGATTCCATTTGATATGTCTATTACATTATAATAAGTTATTTTATATATAATTATTATAATAATAAGATATTATAAATATTTATAATATAATTAAATATCATATATATATATATATATAATTTACTGAATATAAATTTTTTAAAATAACCTACTAGTATTTATCTACTCATTTTAAACATATAAACTAAAATTTAAGAGTCTTAAAAATAATAAAATTATAAATAAATATTATATGATTCTTTTTTATTTTACTGAAAATTTTGTAATAAAGATTAATATTTTGTAATTATATAAAATATTGTACTTATTTTCTATTATATATATATATATATATATATATATATATATATGTGTGTGTGTGTGTGTGTGTGTCCGCAATCTTGTGCGTCGCGACTAAATTTTGGCAGCGGTTTTCTAAACTGTCGCAACATATTCGATAAAATTGCGGCGATTATAAAATTGTCGCTATTTTGTAAACTGAAACTAGTTAAAAATTTGCGGCGGTTTTAAATTTAAACATGCGTTTTAATTAACAATTTGCAGCAGTTTGTAACCGCTGCAATTTAGTTCGCATCCAATTTATAATTAAATATTTTTTATAATTACATTTTCAACCTGTTTGTTTAAATTCTTATCTCAAACATATCATCAAGATAAACTAATACAAATGATTTAAATAAGAATGTCATTCATTAAATAAAGATATTAAATCCAAATTTAGTGCATAATAGATTTGCATCTTTCAAACATAGAAATGGTCCTTAAGTTTAAGAAACTTAGGCACATAAATACAACGAAAATATAAAGATGGTCCTAAAAGCTCCTAACAAACTAAAATTGAAGCAAATACCTAAATAGTTCCTCATGATGATCCTCCATTATCTTCAGGAATATTATATCTAAAAATTAAGATATTACACCAAGAATGTTATGCAATAGCAAGATAAGTGCTCTACCAAAGTTTACGAATACAATAGAAATACAAAAATAAATCTTCGAAAACAAGACATTACCCAAAATTAGAGATATGCAATGCACCATGAATAATCAAAAGCAATAATTTAGACACAATCAACGTCTGTTTAAGGCATAATCAACAAGTCAATAACCAAAGCAAAATTGAAGCATGGAAGTGGGGACACAGCTGTAAATGGAACAACTTTGGCTAGGAGCCTTTTAAAATTGAGCAACTAAAAATAATAATAAAAAATGTATCATCTAACAAGCAACAATTGCCTAATCATAGCAAAATAATTCACTGAACCATTAAAAGAAACATATGGATAAGAGCTATGTGAAGGAGAAGTTGAGCAAAACAAAGACAATGAAGCAATGACCTCTAAATAGAGACTTAATGCAATGTGAATTACATGAGGCAACATTATGGGTATAGTGCATGAATTTCCACAACTGAAAATTATGATTGAATTGTAACAACTTTAAAATATGTCTATGTTTTATTCTATTGTTTAGTTCAAATATTTTGTGTGACATCCTCTACCTTGCATAGTATAGCACATAAATAATATAAAATTGAACTGTCTTATATGAAATAAATAAATTCAAAATTCATACAAGTAGAGAGAATCATATTGTTAACATAAACTAAACTTAATGAAAATAACGAAATTACAAAGGAATTAAAATTAAAGTTCTCAAATTTAAATAAATGAAGCAAATATCAAAACTAGTCATAACTACGTCTTAATGTCACGTGTCCTATCAGAGCAAATCTTCATAAAGTCTGCTTCCATCTTCAGAGGTCGTAACATTGGCTCTAAATACTAATAATGTATTATTTTATATTAGTATTTTGTAAAAACATATTTTTTTTATTAAAAGAGCATAATATAATTTTATTTATAAGATCAGAAAAATTATAATACAAAATCAAATATTGATATTATCTTATTCTAAAAATAACGAAATAAATCCTAAAATAATCGAAACAAATTAAATCTAAATATTTAAAATATAAATAAAAGATTTTTATAAAAAAAACTAATTTATTCTCATGTAGATATTTAGATATATTTCCAACACATTTTTCTCTCATTCCACACCTCCTTTCATTAATTCGACCATTAATTCGACCATTGAAAACTAAGAACCAATTTTGCTGAACCATCTTCCGAAAAAAGGTCTATAACAGTGAACAACTCTTTGGTAGCGATTGGACTGTAGCTACCTGGTGGATATGGAGATGACTTTTCTTCTATTCTCTACTCTCACTCTATGATTCCTGAATGCCATGCATTTCTTTTTGTATATCTGGTTTGCAGAAATATGGAGACAATCTCAATGATGCTATTGATGCTCATTTTCATCAAGGGGATAGGCACATGTATGGGAATGTGACTCATATATATGTAGAGTTTCATTCTGATAATTCCCAGTTGTATCTGAACATGTGGTGCTCAATCGTGATTGATAAATGAATCAGGCACAAGCAGCACCAATCCCATTATATAGATCTCGAAGTAACATAATAGTGAAGGTTGGAATCTAGTAGCCGCATCCACAAAAGGCAAAATTCCAAGGCTTAGATTACTTGGAGCAGCAGCAAGATTTTGCCCTTGACCTGATAATCTAGTCACAAGAATCATAGAAACTCAATAAAATAAATCAAATCTCAGCTTCTTTAGCAATATCATTAAAGATTTCACAAGAAAAGCATTAATATGAAAGAAAATAAATGTAGAAACTCTGAAGCAAATTGCCATACATGTGCCTATCCCCTTCAATAAAATGAGCATTAACTACATCATTTAGATTGTGTCCTGCAGAACAGTTAAACAAAAGGTAAGAAATACACGGCATTTCACGAAATATGACTAGCTAAATTCACCGATGATTATTAAACAAAAAAGAATTAAAGTAGCGCAAGATTAGTCATACATAAGTTGGTGCAAAAGGATGACCTTGCAATATGGCAGAAGCCCACAAATTATTAACATTGCAAACTCAAGCGAAAGATCTTCAAGAATAGTAGACCCTTCTGTAGTGAGGCACAGGATCCAGACACAGCATGGTGATATCACATTTTTCAGCTTTGATATTCTTCTCATGAATTAGTTGGTAGAAGCAAACAGTTGGACTTGAGTAACATGTTGGTTTGGTAATTATTAGATGATGTTTCGGGTTGTTTGATTTGAGAACAGTTTCTATTTTTTTAAAAATTTAAATTATAAAATTTTAACCTTATTTTCACTTTGTTTCATGTTCTAGAAAAATTATACAGATATTACATTCATGATTTGTTGTGTATGTACATATAATATTAACTGTTGATTTTTTCATCAATAGCTGAAAGTACTCACTTTATCCACTAAAATAAGTTATTTATTTTAAAATAGCCAAATCTATGTTGTGAGGATTTCTTAAACAGAAAATGAAAGCAGAAAACGTTTTCTTGAACAACAAAAAAAACTTGTTTCGAGTCCTTTCTGATGGAGATTTTGGGAATAGATTAAGCACTCAACCTTATTATTGTCACCTTTCCTTGAGCTATAAGGTTTTGGTTTTTGTGCATAGCTTTTGTAGTGGTTCTTGTCAAAAGAAAAAATATATATTCTTGCCACCAAAGAGAGTTTCGCAATGATACCAAAACTAGTTGGGAGATAAAGAGACTAGTCGGCACAATGTGCTCTGTCAGATGGCAGGTTTAGTTAGTGAACCTATGTTTGTTACCTAATGTTGTACTACCAAGCCACAAAAGCTCGTGGTGCATAACTGCATATTATCCTTGTTTTTTACTGCATTAATGTAGGTTTCTTCATCTTGTATTAGAAGTGAAAGTTTGAAAGGAATAACTGCAGAGATGTTCACAGAAAATACCCAATTATGGAAAAAGAGAGTGGCATACTATAAGAGATTGGACCATCAACTAGCAGAGCGTGGGAGATATAGAAATCTGCTTGACATGAATTCTTACTTAGGAGGCTTTGCAGCTGCACTGGTTGATGATCCTGTGTGGGTCATGAACATTGTCCCTGTTGAGGCTGAGATCAACACCCTTGGTGTTGTATATGAACGTGGATTGATTGGAACCTATCAGAACGGGGATGCTTTCTTTCTTTTGTATGCATAATTAGATAATCAACATGTTAATGGCTTTTTGACGCCTGGGCGACTTTTTTACAAACTATTTACATAAACATGACTCATCTGAAACATATTATATATAGAGTTAATCACCTATACACCGCTAGTGTAAAATTTTTTTACATTGACAACTAATTATATCTCTTAATTATGCCATATCATTATTAAAAATAAATGTGTTTATAGTGACATGACACAATTAAGAGATATAATTAGTTGCTAGTATAAAAAATTTTTACACTGACAATGTATAAGTAATTAACTCTTATATCTTTAAATTGTTTTATACAGTGTCCTTGTAGTTCATAATGACACCACAGTGACATGTGACACTTTTTTAGCCATTAAGATTAGGTGGTTGCAGCTTATAGCAACCCAAATGAGTCGTTTTAACTTTTAACCTAAAGTAATACAAACTAGCTTCATTAAGTCATTGTAACTTACACTATTGTAGGCTATAGCTACACCATTTTTTTGGTGAGTGACACTATGGGCCATGTGATACATTTTGATTGACCAATGTGCGGTGAAAAAAAAAAGTAAAAATGGTGTTGTTGTGAGTTACAACAACTTCAAAAATAAAACTATTTGTCAAGGCCACGTGGTGCATTTTGGTTGGCAAAATGCACAATGAAAAAAAAAAGTTAAAATGGTGTTATTGTGAGATATAGCAACCTCAAAAAAAAAAATCTGTTTGTTAGGACCATATGGTGCATTCTGATTGGCAAAAATATGTGGTTAAACAAAAAGTAAAAATGGTGTTATTGTAGACCATAGCGACCTCCAAAAAAAAAATTTATCTATCAAGGCCACGTGGCGTATTCTGATTGACAGAATGCACGGTAAAAAAAAAAAGTTAAAATGGTGTAGCTGTGAACTATAGTGACCTCAAAAAAAAATTGTCTATAAAGACCACGTGGTGCATTCTCATGGACAGAATATGCGGTGAAAAAAAAAGAGTCATTATGGGTTACAACAACTCCAAAAAAAAATTAATGGCAGACGTTGTAATCCATAACGACTCCCTAAAAAAACAGTCATTGTAGACTATAGTGACCCCTTAAAAGTTAAAAAAAATTGTGTAACAAGATCGTTGTAGCCCATAGCAACATATGTTAGCTCTAACTACAATCGCCGTAATCCACAACAATTTTTGTTTGGTAAAAAAAAAATCATGTGTCACAGGTGTCATTGTAACCCATAATGACACGGTTTAAAATAACTCAAAAACATAATATGTTTCAAAAACAACTTCATTTGAGTACATAATTTATAAAAAAGACCCGACAAAGGTCAAAAAACTTGCATGTTCATAGTTGATAATTAAAAACTTTTAATAAAATTGTAAAACCTAGTAAGTTGGTAGGAGAGGTTAAATATACCTTTTTAGGAGGTTAAAATGGGTTAACTCGTTTAAATTGTCAAAATAGGTTCTTGGATTTTTTTTAATATTTGATGAATTGTTTTGTATGTTATTATGAATTTCATACTATTTTAGTATAATTACATTCTTGTGATTACAACATTATATTTATATTTATGTTTTTAATTATATTTTTATTTAGTTAATTATTGATCTCATGACAAAGGTATCAAAATCAACTTGTAATAATAATGAATAAGGTTGTTTCTTCAGGAACTAGATAGATTAATTAATCATCAATTAATTTAGAAAAGTAAAAAATAAATATATGTAATATATTTACACATGTTCAACGTTTGATTCATTAAACTAAAAGTTCAAATTAATAAAACTTAAAACAAGTGACAAATATGCAAATAAATATTAGAGAAATTCATATATGAGATGCTTGGGACGGGATTTCATTTACTACACCTTTTTGTAATCTTAATAAGAATATAAACATATATACATTAATTCTTCTCTTACAATATTATCTACAATTGCAATAACTCAATACTAATTCCTTAATATAGAGATTCTAAGTTTTACCCCCTTAAATATCAATTCCTTTCATATTAAAAAAAAAGGGAGAACCTGCATTAAGAAAATCCTTTTAAAGACTAATGATTTTAGCTCTATTTCTAGCAACTTAAACCATTAGGTGATTCATTTTAAATCATGATCTAGAAAATATTTTCCAATTGAGTTCTAAATCAAAGTTTCAAATACGAGCAATCAAAACGTAAAAGGCATTAAGAACAAAAATTAATCATTAATAAATAGAAGGGATCATAACATATATGTGAAAATCAAGAATTACATTAAGCTGCAATAGATTACATCCAATCCTAAAATGAAAAGATTATCTACTCATTTTCATGAGAGCCAACCAACAAATGAAAAGAAGAAGAAGAAGAAGAATTTAGTGCAAATTGTCATTGTTCTATTCCCAAAACGTTGGAATCACTACCAAATTCTTCAACTTGGATGGTCTTCGAGGCTAAAGGGAGAGAATGATGGGTGAGGTGTGTAAGTCTAAAGAGTCTGAGAGCCGTCTTATTCTTTTCTCCTTTTTAATATGTTATGATTTGTAACAAAAGATTATTTAGTACCACAAATTGGTTTAAGCCATTTCTGAACGACTTAAGGCTTTTTTAAATACATCACCATAAAGAAAGTAAAATGGCTTAAGTCCTTCTAAAATGGCTCAAGCCTTTTTTTGGTAGATTATAATTTTAAATTTTTCTGAAATGGTTTAAGCCCTTCGAATATGGCTTAAGCCTTGTTGAGTTTATTTTCATTCATGAATCTTTTCTAACTTCAATTCTTTTCTTTGTCTTGATTTCTCTTCACTTAACCTACAAAGCAAAACCATCATAATTAACCAAAAATTACTATAATTTAATTGGATTGGATTTTTATGATATAATTTACATAATTATATATAATATTCACATCCTTGATCAATTTATGAGGGGGAAAATGAAAACATGTCATTTTACACAATAATATTCATAAAATTCAAGTAAAAATAACAACTAACATTAATCAATTTACCTATTTTTACATTTTTTTTAGTTTTAGGTGGCTAACTCAATCTAACCACAAACCTATCAGGTCTTAATCCAACCTAAAAAAGTTAGGTAATTTCATCTTATTTTGACTTTTTATTTTAAAGACAGTGCAATGCGTAAAAAATGGGTTATGGGAGACAATGTTTTATATTTACTAGCGAAAAAATAAATAAAAGACCTTACGTATTTTCATTAGAAAAGAGAAAAAAGTAATAAATATTTTCTAATAATTTGTACAGTTTTTAAAAGTTATTTGTAGTTATTGAAGATAAAATGGAAAAGAAAAAAAATAGACACTGAATGAGACAATCTTTTTATTATTGAGTTAAAGTCATATGTTTGTAAAAATGGTTAACTTTTAATATTTTTTAAAATTTTAAAGATAAAATCATCTAAAAAAAAATATGTACACCAAATCAAACTATTATTTTTGCATATGAAATAAATTATAGATATAAATTTAATGTTATCTTCACTATAAAAATGCATGTACAAGAATTAAAAAATATTGCATAATTATTTTATATATGATTTAATATTGCATGATATATATATATATATATATATATAAATATTAGTGAAAAAAAGGCACTTTGTTAATATTATGAGATGTAAAAGTTATAAAACGATTATATTACAGTTTTATTTTTGAAAAATAATAATTTTTATTTAAATTAATTGAATGAAATTAGTGACTTATCATCCACTAAAAATAATTGTACAGATACCGTAATAAAAATATTTTAAGCGTTATGAATCTTTGTTATATATTATTCAGTGTCATATTTTAGACATTAATAGTGTTCGTCTCAAAATCCGTCTTTCCCAGCCACCGACAGCAGCGTTATAACAAAAGAGAGTTTAAATCATTTTCCATCATTTTTTGTCCTTTACGTTTGACAGAACACTGTTTCACAGATCCAATCCTCTAAATTTAAATTTGTTGTAGCACTTGCACATGATTATTCATTATTCATTATTCACCACTTATGACTTCATATATGGTTATTCAGTTTTAAGTCTCTGCAAGAACAGGTAATAACACTATGAATCAATTAGATGTAACGACCAAATCTACTGAACCTAATCTTAGTTTAGTAAGTTTCTAAATTTTATAAATTTAAAAAAAAATAATCACATTTTTTATAGTTTGTTTGAATATAAATTAAAAAAAAATAGAGTTTCTCTACCGAAAAAAAAAAACTATTTATTTTTATTGAAAAACTCTAAAATATTCTTCTAAACTAGGTTCCAATGAGGCTCCTAATCAGATACTTGACAAACAATTTACCTAACTAACTAATGGTATCATGGGAATAGTAATTAATTTCAAACTAAAACTAACTAATCACAAACATATGATGTGATGCCATTTTGGTTAGCTAAAAAGTTCAAGGGACAACATCATCTGTTTTTCTTGTCAACTTTGAAAACTAAATAACACCTCAAACCTCAAACCTCAAACCTTAAACACTTTATCTCAACGGTGAGTATAAGTGAAGATTGTGAAACCTAACTAACATATCAAATTAATGTGTCACAGATGTGATATGGTGGACATTCTTCTAGAGATGGACCGAATTTCGAGGCCACAGGGTAGTATCATATTGAGAGATGATGTGGATGTATTGATGAAGGTGAAGAGCATTGCAGATGAAATGCAATGGGATGCAAGAATTACAGATGATATCATCCATCCTAAAGATTACTTTTTTTTTATTATTATTTATCAATAGTTTCAGTTTTTTAAGATTCAATCCAACCCCAAAAAAACAGTCTCACCGTTGCTAAGACTTACTTCATTAAAAGTTGATGAACAATCCTTAATACTAAAAGCACAACACGGATATGACTTTACCTAAAAGATAGAACGTAAATAGTTTTAAGTTTAAATCTTAGTGTTGTCATTGTAATTATAATAAATAAATAAAAATGTTTTAAAAAAAAGACAAATGTTCATTCTAATTAAGGAGATAAACACATCATATGGCAACATGGCCCATATTGAGACAACTTGGAGAAACATCACAGAAGGTATATTTACAAAATACAAGTTCTTGTTCCTATCAATTTATATCTTTTTCCTTCATATTCAATCCATCTCCAGAAAAAGAGTCTCGTCATTACTAAGACCTACTTCATTGAAGGTTGATGAGCAATCTTTAATACTAAAAGCACAACGCGGGTATGACCTTACCTGTTAAAAATATTGAAGCAGTGACAGTGGATCATTTCAATCATATAGAGATCATATGCTGGCTAAAGATAATTAAGGATCAAGAAAATTGTCCCAATACTAAAAAGAATCAGGTATTTGATATTACATACTTAAACCAAAGGTTAAAAAAAAAACTAAGTGCCTTCATCTTTGCCTGTGATAGTTTTCATAAAAAGCATATGAAAGTCACTAAATTAATTTATGATATGATGCTAGAATGTATTTAATGGATCACGTAAATAAACAGCAGTGTGAAAAATATGAAAACCAATATATTCTGATATGACCATGCCACATAAACTTGTTTAAAATATTATCAGCTAATACAATTTAGATGCATTCCTAACTATTAATAAGACATAAACTGGGAACCAGCACATAACTCATGGACATGCGCGAGGAAAAAATTGTCATCGAGATTCATCTTTAAGTTGTTTTGAACATTCCATCAAGCATGAAGTTTGATAACCTTAAAGAAAAAAATACGGAAATAAAAGCATTGACAGAAACTAAACAATACCTTAGTTACACCATCGACAGAAATCATGCCAGAGTAAAATAACATATAGATTCAATAAAGAGATTAAGCGGATCAAGAGACACTCACAAGTCTGTATGTCCCAGGCTTCTCCCCTTGAAATCTAACAGTGTCTACGAAATCAAAAAGATTCTACAAGGTAACAGAATGACAATTTGTTAACCAAGTATGCCAACTCTCACAGTAAAGTAAAAATGGACAATGTTACTCCTCTAAGTGTTTATCTGGTGCTTCAAGCACCTATTGCATACGTATGCATTCTTCAGGAAACAAGGAAAGATAGAAGAAAAAACCTATTTATTTTTAAAGGAAATGACTTTAATTGAAGTGAGAAATTATTTTTAAAGGTAAATGCTGAACATAATGGACATCTGGCAAGAGGAGATTGGGGGAAGAGAATCACAGAATCATAAGTGTAATTCTGAAAGACATCAGAAAGCGGAACGTATCTAAGCATTTTTGGTAGTCGAGGTGGCGTTTGCTTGGGGAGTGTATAATATCCTACGGTGTTTCGTTACTATTTTCTTGAGATATTCTGGTTTTTCTTTCCTATTGTTTTTCAATTCTGGGTTGTATTCTTTACTTTATCGAAAATTTCTTTATGCTGGCAGGAGCTGAGCTCCATTCCTTTAAGCTGAATCTTATCCAGAATTTATTTTTAATCATATTCTAACACTAATTTTACCTCAAGTTTGTCAGTTTTGAGAAAGCGACGATTAAGACGATGACCATCTGGCATTCGAACAACAATAGTAATTGTTTCATTACATAAAGGTGGTTCCTTGGAAAGCCTAACTTCTTTCTTGTCAAGCATTTTCCCCATTTCCTGCAATCATGAGGCACACAAAATTCAGTACAAGAATTTGAATAGTCATACAGCAATAAGAGTCAAGCACCCAAACAATGGACACAAAAGGCAAAGATTGTCATACAGCAAAATTTGAATTTGAATTGTCCCACACTCTTAAATATAAGTCTCAATTACACATCACATGTCTAATGCATGTCCAATACACATCACATGTCTAATGCATGTCCAATACGTTTTTGAAAGGCAACCTTTTAGGAAGCGTGTAGTATGCTTCATAGCAAACACCACAAATGCAAAAGACAAACAGAAACAATAATCAATACAATTAAGCTTTTCAAAACCAATATACCCCTCTACTTAACCCAACCACCTTAGGAAGGCCTAAATGGCGATTTATGGAATGATTCAATACAGAGTATATGATCTTGCGAAGTCTAATGTACAAAACGTTGCACAAAAGTAAACCTAATGAAATGGTTAATTGAGTTAATCCATGTTTCATAAGTCAACACAATGAAACATAAACCTTAATCATGTGCTACCTTGAAAGTTAAAAAACATTAATCAGACACAGAATACTTGCCTCTTGCCTCTAGTCACAGTCTAATAATGGATTTGTAATTGTATAGTTTATAATAATCATATATGTAAGAATAAACACCATTTATGAATACAGGAAAACCAAGCAAACATTGAATAACTAACTGCCCATGCACACAAACACATAAATAGCGGCATGTCAAGCACAAGCACCATTTTTTTGTGAGAGGAAAAAGGAGCTAATTTTGAGTTATCACCGATTAAATTTTACATGGATAGAGTCAAAATGTAACCTTTATTTAACTTGTAATATTAGATATCCATAAATGATCCAACACTTTAGGGTTACATTTCATATTCATATCACAACTAACAGCAGGAACAAAGTCATCATAAACTCAGCAAATGTATAAACCCAAAAAAATTTTCTTACCTCTTCTTGAACTCATTCCACCACCAAAATTACTTATCTCTATCCAAAACCATTTGATTAACCCAATATTTTTTTAGCAAACTTCCTAACTTTCTTCGACATCTCATCCCAAATGAGGTTAGCACTACCTTATAATTATTAATTACCTTCCTCTGGTAATTTCTTTGTCAAATTAACTAGTATTTGATGTTCTAAGCTGGCCAATTATCTAGCCAGACATACAAGTTGTCTTTCAAAGAGTGTGGATAATCTAATTGTACTAGTCCTCCTAAAAACTACCTTCTTAATTGCTTGCATTCAAATGAATGATGAGCAAATTATATACCCCAACTTAATACATTTCATGTTTAATTTGCATATTAGAAATTTTCTAGTTATGTAAATTTACAAAAAGAAGTTCGACTTCAACAAATCTGTAACCAGAAATGGCGGCAACAGAAATTTCGATGCATTTTTAAATAATACAATAAACACTAGTCTGGAAACAGAAATTACGTGAGCAAAACTAGGAAGAGAAAGTTGGAGGAACCAGAAAATATATATAACCCTAAAGGATTTTAAGTAAAACGTGAAAAATTTGTGGGAGTGGAACATATTAACTGGAAAAAAAAAAGGACGTAATTGATTTTTTCATAAACTTTGTAAGGAGCATGGGCCTTGAATCCTCAATATAGGTCCACCCAATGCCTGCTTACAATTCTTCTTTGATATCCATGCGTCTTGTATCTGATATGGAAAATATATTTAGGCTTACAAAATACGCACCTCTAATTGGCTTCTGCTACTGTTGGTTTTCTTTTCCTTGTCTAACAAATCATAAGCTCCTTGCCCTTCCTTCTCCTCCAATATTAGATGCTCACGGATTGCTTTCTCCTTCTCTGCCGTCTAAATTCAACACAACAGGAATCAGAAAGATTGGAAACGGATAAATTAAATTGCACAAATAATTTGAATATTCAAAACCTCTAAGGACAACGAAATTGCATGAGCCAAATCATCATCTTCTTGTTGAATATGACTTTGAGGAAACCCATCATCAGATGAATCCTGAAATAATGTATTATTGAAAGCAGGGACCTTTAGAAAGCATATAGAAACTGAAGTAAACTAAAAACAGCATGGTAAGCTTCACGATGAGCATACATCAAGAACACCAACTTGCTCCCTTGAAGAACCTCCTCTCCCCCCCATTCTTGAGGCCTCTATCGCTGCTTGAAGCATTGCTTCCTCTAGTTCAGCATCAGGAACATGTGCAGTGTTCAATCTTGATTGATAATGTGGCTCCCATGCACTATTGATCCCTGCAGGACCTTCCCTCGCCTCTAACGGATGGGAAGCAAGAGATGGTGGGCGACTCCTAAATGCAGAAGCACCAATCCCAACACATAGATCTCGAAGTTCTCGCCTATAATTTGCATCAAGTAACAGTGAAGGTCGGAAGGTTCTAGCAGCATTCACAATAGTCGGAATTCCAATTTTTCGATTACTTGGAGCAGCGTTATTATCTAATGGGGCAGCAGTAGCACCAAGATTTTGCCCTTGACCTGATAATCTAGTCACAAGAATCATACAAACTCTGAGTAAATAAAATAAATCAAAGACAATTCAGCTTCTTTAGTAATATCACTAAAGATCTTAATTTTCATTAAGATGAAAGAAAATAAAAGAAACTCAATGAACCAAATTGCAATACATATGTCCGTCTCCTCGAAGAAAATGATCATTAATAGCATCATTGACATTGCCTCGATGTTCCTGCAGAACAGTTAAACAAAAAGTCATGATTTAATTTGTTTCTTTGATGTTTCTTGTAAATTTGAAGATGAAATAAAACTATTAAGTAACTACATTTAATGTAATAACATAGCATTAATCAAGATTAGTAGAAATCGAAAGGAAAAGTAAAAAAAAGAAAGAGTAAATATGAGAAAGAGGTGAACCTCTAATTTCTGGACCGCGACGGACTCTGGTGCTCCGGTGATTAGCATGAATTCTGCGACGGCGTTGGGCGTAGCCATGGTGGTTGGATCTCTTTCCAAGAGAATAGAGAAAGACTTTGTGCAGAGAGTAAAGTGTATAGTCAGAGTGTATGTTGTTATGGGGTTTCGCGCCACCTTTTTATACTATAAACTATTCCTTCCATTCAACTTTCTTTTTTAACCAGATTATTCAAAGAAAAATGTTTTAAAATTTGGATCCTTAATTATTTTTAAAAAAAAATACACAATAGATTTCACAAAAAAAATCACAATGGAGAACTAACTTAAATTAATTAAACCGTAATTTTGTTTTTAAAATACTTAGATATTTTTTATAAGACGATTCTATTTAAATAAGATTAGGATTTTATTTAGAGAATTAAGTAATCTTCAGTTACATTAATATTATTAATTTATTATTTAATTAGTATAATTATTTGTGCGATGTATGTGATATTTAATTTAAAATATAATTTATATCATAATTAGTTATAAAGTATTTAAAGTAATATTAATTAATATTAATATATAATATTGTTTCGATTAAAAACGAAAGTTATTATAATTTTAAATTCTTATCATGTAATAATTTCATGTAATTTATTTAAAATACTTGATATTTTTTATTAGATGATTTTATTTAAACTAAAGATTAGGATTTTATTTTAAAAAATTAAGTATATATCATGTGAATGAATCTTTAGGTGTAGATAATATTATTAAGTTATTATTCAACTAGTATAATTTCATGTAATTTATCATGTAATTATAAGTTATTATAATTTTTAATTCTTATCATGTAATTTAACTAGTATAGTTACAGATCCTTAATTTGTTAATTTGATTATAAGATTACTCTGAATTTGATTGAGAAGGATGTTATCCTCAAACATCCTTATGCTCCTGTCATATATATATAGAAGATCAGGTCCCTCCAATAATGAAATTAACCATTATCCTTTAAACATTCATATAGAAAGTATAATACATATGCAGATAGGTTAGCTAGGTTAGCTAAGATTAACACTACTAGTAACTCATCACCCATTGTTTGGGATGTTGAAATCATGTTTCTTCTCCTAACTTATGTTATAGGGATTGGAACTCCTAAAGGATTCAACTAGTTTTTTTGTTTGTTGGTATTTTATATTTTGATACATCAAAAAAAATTATATACATTTTCTAATGATTTTTCAAATTCTCTATGAATAAATATTTGTGTTTAATTATGTAAATCAATTAATTAAATACTAATATATTTATTTTAAAATTAATAGAAAATGTTTAAATTTTAAAAGGCTAAACAATTTTAGAAAAAAAAAATGGGCTCGAGTTATATAGTTTTGAGCGAATTTTGTTTAGAAGACTATTCTACCTTTAATAATATATAGATATAAATTTAATAAATTAATTGCAATAAATTATCCTATAAATTGATTCTAAATTTAATATTATATTAAAAATTATCTCATTAAATCCTTAGATAATGAATTGTTCCAAACAATTGATTCCAAATTTGAATTTGAATATATAATTATATTTTAAAAAATAACAATCATTTCAAAATTATATGCACTTTTTTATAATATTTCAAATTTTCTATAAAAAATATTTATGTTTATTTGATGTAATTCAATTTATTAATTGTTAATGAATTTATTTTATAATTAATATAAAAAAGTTTGAATTCTAAAAGACTAGAAATATCTTCTCTCTTTTTTAAAGGGGTTGAATTATGTAGTTTTTAGAAGAAAAAAAATAAGATTATTTCACCTTTAATAATATATAGTCATAGATATAGATATATATATATATAGTTATAGATAAATGAATTAAAAAATTGAATTTCAATGTATAATTAGAATAAAAAATTTAAAATAAAAAAAAACCATCGTTTCACTATTATATCCTTTTTTTAATGATATTTTAATTTTTTGATAAATTATTTGTGTTTAATTGGTGTAGTTTAATTTATTAAATGCTAATAAATTTATTTTATAATTAATAGAAAATTTTTCTATTAATTATAAACTGATGAAACAACATAAGTATGCTTCTATTCAACATTTCAAAACCTTTGTCGGCTGATTGGTCTAGGGGTGGTAAGCAGTAGAAAACACTAATGTAGTTCCTTATATTTTGAAGGTTCCTTCTAAAAGTGACTCATAAACACTGGATCACGGTTCAAAAATAATGCTTTTTTGGAGGTCATGCAACTTGGTTTTCTTAAGTGTGAACCTGCTAGCAAGTCATTCAGTCGTTAAGGATGTGGGCAAAGCAATAAAATGTGCGAATTTAGAGAGGCAGTCACAAACGACCTAAATTACTATATGCTAAAGTTGAAGGAAAATGAATGATGAAACCTATGGTAACTTTTTCCCAAGCTTGTGTTGGTGTGTATAAGGGTTGAAGAAGACTATATTTCTAAGTTGGTTTATATTTATTGTGTTAGAAGGTTGTACAAGTTTGGATGAAAGTTTTAGTTGCAAAGTACATCTTGGGCTAGTAGAAGGATGTTGCTAAATGAGCCAAAGTGGGTTTAAGACTTGAGTGGTCGACTAAAGGTGTAGCATTGAACTCGTGAAGAAAGATTTGGCGCATATTCTTAAAATTAGGTATAAAAATTCTCTCCGTGAAGAATAAAATCTTATTCATGATGTGAAATGGGGAGACTAGATCTACCAAATACTGGGACATGAATTCTTAGCATATGTCTATTTGTCATAATTGTTGGAGATCTTGGACTAAAAGTGGAATAGGGGAGGAATCTATAGTTAGCAAAAATGGTTGCTTTGGTGGTCTCAATAACGTATCAATTGCTTGGTTGTTTCTACCAAGTTTGTAAAATGCTTCAAAATTGTATATAAGTAACTTGGTTTCCTAGTGTTATTGCTCTAGAGTGTGAAAAGTCTGTGTTAATATTTCTTTCAAAAATTTTTTATCACTAATGATATGAAATTGTTTTTCCACTAAGTATTGTATCCATTTCTTTATGGAGGACATGATGACAAGTAACTTGCAAACATACATTAAAGTCATTTGGATGAAGGGGTAGAGTCGTTTGTTGTAAAAGGCAATGGGCCGACCTTGTTGGGATATGGTAATGGCAAAGTTGTTTGTTTCCAAGACAAAAACATGCCAAAAATTAGGAATAATAAGTATAGGCATGGTCGTAATTAATTCTTTGAGGCTTTGGAAATTATTTTCTACCGATGTATTCCATGTAAACTTTGATGAACCACGAAGTAAATTGGTAAAGGGAGTGGTGATAGTGGCATAATTATGCACAAAGCGCCTATAGAATCCAGTTAAGCCTAAAAAACCCTTAAGAGTTGTGAATGGGTGTGGTCTTGGCCAATCTAAAATAGCTTTAACCTTGTTGGGGTTGACTACAACTCCTTGTCCAATATTAATGTGGCCTAAATATGTAACCTTTGGAACAACAAAGATACATTTAGCGAGTTTAGCAAAAAAATTTGGATGTAGATAACAAATCTAAAATCAAACATGAGAGAGTTAGGTGTTCAACATAAGAATGTTTATAAATTAATATGTCATTAAGAAAACAACTACGGATTTGCAAAGAAAGAGAGGTAGTAAATCACTCATTGTTGATTGAAACATTGAATGTGCATTGGTGAGTTCAAAAGACATCACCAGAAATTTCTAATGTCCATCTTAGGTCCTAAAAGTTGTTTTGTGAGTGTATGATGGATTGAGTCTAATTTGATGATAACCAGCTCTTACATCAATTTTAGAAAAAAAGTTAGCTAATCCAAGTTCATCAATCAAATAATTAATAATAGGAATTGGGAAACAATCTCTAATAGTAATAACATTTAAGGCCTTGTAGTCTACACAAAAATGTCAATTTCCATATTTTTTAACTAAAATCACAAGGGAGAAATATGGGTTGGCTTCTACTAGGTATGATGATTCCTTCCTCAAGCATTTTTGGAATGAAAGTAGTCATAACTTGCTTTTGTGAATGGGGATATTTGTAAGGGTGGACATTAATTGGTAAAACAATTGGATGTACAGTTTTATGATGATCAAGGGGTCTTTTTGGAGGAACCATAAGGCTTTTGAGAAATCTCAGAGTAACATTGGAGTAGGGTTTGGATTTAGGTTGGAAATTAAGGGTAGAAGATAGTTTGGATGAATGGATAGTGGGTTGGATGGAAATTAGATGGTAAGAAGCATTAAAGTCAGTGGCATAGTTGGGGGTAGGTAGTGGCTACAAGAATGGCAAGATTCTTACTAGTGATGGTAACTTGTTCCTGGTTGTATGTGAAAGATATTTGGGATATGGAGAAGTCAACTTGAATTGGACCTAATGTGTTTAGCCAAGCAATACCCAAAACTAAATATGCATCTTCAATAAGAATCAAATAAAATGGTAGATGAGAGGTATGTTGATGAATTTGTAATGGAACTTGAGGGCTAATAACGTTACAAGTAGTTTTTTTCACCATTTCCAATTATGATAGAGAATGTAACCATAGGTGAAGAATGTAATCATAAATGACGTGCAATACGTGGTTGGATTATGTTGTGAGTATTGTTTGTATCATTAAGAATCGATACTAGAAGGCCTTGAATTGTGCCTTGAAATTTTAGTGTTGTAATTGAAGGCAAACCAACTAATGCCTAAGGTGAAAAATGAAAGTGAATAGGCTTCTCTTCTTAAGGGATGTTTGATGGATTTTCTTATTGATATTCATTAGGACCAATTTTCTCATCCAATTTGTCACTTAAAAACAAAAGAAATTTAGGCATTGTACAATGGTGGTTAACATGGAATTTTTTTATCATAATTGTAATAGAGGTCGACAACCCTTCTTTCTTGAAGTTGGGCTTGGGTCATTTGTTTGACTGGAAGGTTTGAACCAACATAAATGATAGAGTTGGAATTTGGTTGGAAGGAATGGTGGATGATGAACTCATATTGTAAGAATGAAATAAAAAAAGGCCTTTAATCGTTAATTTTAGCTTCCATTAATTTGGTAAGCCCAATAGCATGGTTGACAGTGAGGGGTCATAAGATGGCCAACTTGCATTGAATATTGTCATTCTGTAAGCCTAAAATAAACTTGTTAAGAATAGTACCGTAAGTGAGTCCAATAGTGCGATTACATAATTTTTTCAAAATTAGCTTGATATTCAAAAACAACTAAACAAGGCCTTTTTAGTGAAGTTTGAATAACTCCACTTGGTGGTTTTCATAGGAGGATGAACTAGAACATAATTCTAGATCTTTGGAAAAGGAGAACCACTTAGACAATTGATAATTCTGATACATCCATTTAAATTAGTCGAGGACATCCCCTTTCATATAGAATGCAACCATAGGTAATTGTTGTTCTCAAGGAACCCGATGTAGACTAAAATATTGATCAGCTTAAAACAACCAAGCAAGAGGATCGAATCCATCAAACATGTTAAGTTGAAACTTTAGTATGAGTATCTGAATATTGGGCAATGGTGGTAAAGAAGGGTAAACATTGATAAAAGGGGAAAAATATGGGTCTAGATGGTTAATCATATGAATATTTGAAATAAAAAAAGGAAGAGAAGGAGGAGGAAGGGGTAGAGGTGGAGGTGAGGATTGTGTTTCATGAGATAAGATGAATGATAAAGATAAGAGATGAAAAAAAAAAGTGTTGTGATATTGACAAACGAACTTGAAACAAATTAATTAACTAAAAGAGCCATTTGATCTAGCATGTTATACAATCCTTAATATACAATATTGTGTGCAATCCATACAGTTATGTACACATTTGCCAAAATAAAGAAATTTGATGGTGCCTTTAAAAACAAAGTATAAAAAATCTTCCTGAGTTTTAAATATTGAATTAGTCAAAAATTAATTTAAAATAATGTCACAAAATTAAAAATAATTAATATTTTAAAATGATCAAATTAGTTTAAATATAAAAAAATAAAAAATAAATATTTTACCGTACAAAATATCAAAATAAATCTAAAAATAAGATAAAGATAAACTAAATCTTTTTAAACATCATGCAAGTCACCGAAACGCACGAAACGACCCCGTTCAGTTATCTTGACAGTACCAACAAGTAGAGCAAGAGCACCGAAGAGTTGGCATTAGCGATCTCCGTGCATACATAGCGACACTAGAAAGTAGAAACTAACCTCAGCGCGAGCCACCTTACCCAGTGAACCCCACCGCACCGAAACAAATCTCTCTGACCGAAAACCCTAACCCTAACCCTAACGCCCCTCCCTCATGGACGCTGACGACGAGACCTCGGGCCCGATGATCGACGAAATCTACGCCAACGGCGGCGGAGGTGACGACGGCGAGAAGCGGAGCCGCCGCGCGATCATGAGCGGCGACCAGCTCGACATCGAGGCGTACGCGGCGCTGTACTCGGGGCGCACGAAGATCATGCGGCTTCTGTTCATCGCCGACAAGATGAGCAACGCCCCGACGCAGCTCGAGGCACTGCGCATGGCCTACGACGAGATTAAGAAGGGCGAGAACACGCAGCTGTTCAGGGAGGTTGTGCAGAAGATCGACGGAAGGTTGGGACCGAACTACGGCATGGACGCGGCGTGGTGCGACGCCGTGGATCGGAGGGCCGAGCAGAAGAAGGAGAAGCTCGAGAACGAACTCAATGCGTACAGGGTTCGTTTTTATTTTGTTTTTATTATTTTTATTAGTTGAAATCTGAAGATTCCTCTGTTTTTGTTTTTGCCCCAAAATGTTTGGTTGCCCTAAAATTTAGATGCTAACGTACGTGCTCCTAGAATTCGATTGTAGGATGTTTTAGACGTATGTGTCAGTGATGATAAGTAATGCTTGTGAATACTAAGGTTTTAATAGTAGCAGCAGCAGTTTCAATGTTGGTGGAAATTGCGGACAAATATGGCCACAATTATGGACTGTTTTTAATTGTGGTTGCAGTTTAGTCACAATTCTTGATATTGTAGGAAATTGCGGGCAAATGTGACCTTAGCTACAATTATCGTGTCAGAGACTTCAAAAACCTTGATGATGCGGCCTAAACTTTTTTTTTTTTTCTCTCTCTGGTGGATTGAACCTTGTTTGATTGTTTCAAATTTTTTTGTTTGCTGTTGGATGGAAACTGTTTCTTGACTGTAATATTTGTTTCTGTTTATGCTTCTGCTGCCAAGTATTGTGTTTTGTGTACATTCAGCAACTTTCTGGGATGGTGCTGCATGTGTATGTAGTTTGTGTCTGGTGATTAGTGTGGATTGCTTTCACGTTGCGTTTTCTATACTTTGGTGATTATTTATGAGAAATAAAGAGTTGGTGTTGTTTTTTTATGCTAAGAGTTTTGCAGATAGCTTTGCTTAGTGTGTTCTGGTCCTTTTCGGGTGGATGGTTGTTGTGTGCTATTAGACTGAAAGGGCTTGGTTGAAATGTATTGAACATGCTAGATTAAATTGTCATATCATTTCTGTTTGATATGGTTGTGGATTCCAAAGTAGTCTCCCTGTGGAGTTTTATCTAATGTTTGTTACACAAATATGTTTTCCATAATTGGCACGGTAAAAAAGTGAGATGGATTCCTCCCTAACAGAAAGTAAAAAAGAATAAAAATTTGAAGCTAAATGGTTTGTCTCTGTTTACTGGGATATCATTTTATTATATAATATTTTGATTAGTTCTGTTTTCGTAAATTGCCACTGCTTCCGTATCCTGTCAATTCCTTCATCTTGGCTTTTGTTTTGGCAGACAAACTTGATTAAAGAAAGCATTAGAATGGGATACAATGATTTTGGAGACTTTTACTATGCTCATGGTCAATTGGGGGAAGCTTTTAAAAATTATGTTCGTACCCGGGATTATTGCACTACATCAAAGCACATTATTCATATGTGTATGAGTGCAATTCTGGTCAGCATTGAGATGGGTCAATTTCCTCATGTTACAAGCTATGTTAGCAAGGCTGAACAGGCACCAGAAGCCCTTGACGCAATAACAGTTGCAAAGCTACGATGTGCCGCAGGATTGGCAAATCTAGAGGCCAAAAAATACAAGCTTGCTGCCCGAAAGGTCTGTGCTATAGATCTTTGTTTGGCTCTACTTCGGCTCAGAGTCAGGCGAGACTAGAACATTCTATCATGATTTATGAAATTTCTGATTAGAAGTTTAAGGATTCAATACTCATTTATAATTGTTTGATTTATTTATGATAACCTATTAATTTCATTGTTTATAACTTTTGGTAACCTCATTTTCATTATTTCATGCAGTTTCTAGAAACAGGACCAGAGCTGGGACTTCACTATAATGAAGTAATTGCACAGCAAGATGTTGCAACATATGGAGGGCTTTGTGCACTTGCAACATTTGACCGGGCAGAGTTAAAGGCAAGTACTCTATTATATTGTTAGATGCTTCTTCTCAATGACTGCTCTGAAAAATTGGTGACACTGTCTGTGTTTTCTTTTCTTTTTCAATATTTGGCAGAGCAAAGTTATAGACAATTCCAACTTCCGCAATTTCTTAGAGTTAGTGCCTGAAGTAAGGGAACTGATAAATGATTTTTACTCAAGGTAAGTTGGTGCTCGTGCATGCTTTTTCTTTGTTGTTCAATTATGTTGTGTATTTGGGATTAGTCACTTGGCAAAAGAATTTTCTTGCCTAAACTAACTAAACTAAAATTATGGAGAATCAATAAGGTGCATGAAATTGCACTGGTAGGATAGGTACATGATTTTCTTTGTGCATGGTGCTAAGCTGCTTGTCTAAAAATATGACCAGAATTTTTTGAAATTATTGGATTGGAATGTTTTGATTGGAGAATATAAACTTCAAATTCAATAGACAGTTAGGTGTAATTAATTGTTATTGTTGGGATGTTGGCTTTAATTCATGTGACTAATCCTTTATTGTTTTGTTTAATAAGGGGGTGGTTAGAGTTCACTAACATTTTTGATTGCTGTCCTTTTGATTTTTATTTTGCAAATTTAAACAATTTATTTTAATGCTGTTGCATTGGTGAAAACTGAAAGGGGACATGTTACTTGATCACATCTTCCAATAATTATCTTACTCTAATGGTTTTGCATTAAAAAGTTATATATATGTATTTCTTGCTCAAATTGTTTCTTTGCAGTGGTTTACTTTCCTTTATCTACATGTCTTTCTCGGCTCCCTCTGGAGAATATATTTATCTTGATCTCTTTCCTTCCTTTTCCCAGTCACTATGCTTCATGTCTGGAATACCTTGGGAACCTCAAAGCAAACCTATTGCTTGATATACATTTGCATGACCATGTTGAGACGCTTTATGATCAAATTCGTCACAAAGCCCTTATCCAGTACACACACCCATTTGTATCTGTTGATTTGAACATGATGGCTAATGCATTCAAGACAACTGTTGCTGGACTCGAGAAAGAACTGGAAGCATTGATTACTGATAATCAGATACAGGTATGGTTTGAATTAATTTGCCTTGTTTGGTCCATAGCTCAATTAGGTTGAATTTATAATGGAAAATTCTAATACATATTTCAATATCACATGCTTAATTGTTTCTCATTTTATTATTTGCCTGTGGCTAAATAATTTTGAAGATGATTTTAAATTTTTTTTATACCTTTACAATAAAAACTGTGTATGGGATTTAAAAAGCTTATTGTCGGTGGAACTTGTTGCACTTTGCAGGCTCGAATTGATTCACACAACAAAATTTTGTATGCACGGCATGCAGATCAAAGGAATGCCACCTTTCAAAGGGTTTTGGAAACTGGAAGGGAATTTGATCGTGATGTTCGTTCCATGTTACTGAGATCAAATCTTATCAAGCATGATTTCAATCTCAGAGCATTAAGGAAACTTTGATAATGGACTGATGATGATGGGGCCAAGGCTGCTATTTTATATCACAGGCATTGATCGAATATGAAGAGGCAAGATTCTTGAGTGAAGTTAAAGATTGCCTTCCCTCATGGTGGATTGAATCAAGGTTGCAAACGTACATTTGTGCAAACATTTAACGACATATTATGGTTGCTTTTGTATATACCCTCTCATAATTTCAATTTATTCGTCACGAGATCTTCATTTCCTGTTTTTTAACCCGCACCTCTTTTTTGGTAACTCCATTGCGGAATACTCGAGTCATGATGGCTCGAAAACATTTTCATGATCTGTCTTAACAATTCGTAGGAATAAAATACTTGATAGTATGGAGATAAATTTAATAGTGAGCAATCGGAAGATGATGGTTGTGCTGGTTACAAAATGGGGAGGACCTATGGTGTTAGCCCGCCTATTATGGCAGGAAAGGTTGAACTTTGCAACCTACCAACCCTTTTAACCTGTCAAGAAAATTGTGGCAGGGGCGAGTTGCGGAGTTGGGTTTACCTGCTTAACTTTTAATTGTTGGATGATTCTTAATCTTTTGGTAGAGTAGTATTATGATGACATATGTTTAGATTTTTCTTTACATGTTTGAATGTTTTGTGAAATTTGAAGGAAACACTTAGCTTAGGTGATATGATCAATGTGGTTAAGTGTATGCTTCTTATTTTGTTTAGTGATGCGAATAAATGCATTTTTTTTTTTTTGAGTAAACTCGTCTCTAAACAGATTGGGTTGGAATTTTGTACTCATTTTGTTAATGTGTTGATCCATCTTGTCCTGTTTTAGGCCGGTCAATGTGGGTTGACTTGTATTTTCACCCTTATGATTGGTATTTTATTATTGTTTTGATCTAAAATGTTATTTGAATTTGTGTTGTGGTACCGAGAAGTGTTAGAAGTCTAATTAAATTTCAGTTTACTGTTTTGTATGCAAAAATAACTGTTGTTTGAGCAGTGCACAAAAGTTATTGATACTATTGCGCTGGTATTGAACTATAAATTTAATTTTATAGTAATATTTAAGATAATTCTTCAATCATGTTTTTTGGTTGAAAAATAACGTTATTGTACTATCAAAGACAGCAAAATTAACAGTGTATACACAATTATTTTGTTTTTTTTCTTTTCTCGAAATGTAGTTTCAAAGGATTTGATCTATTTTTCTAGTTCAAATTTTGATATCTTTATTATACTTTTAATAGATAAAAAATTATTTTTGACTTTTCGTATAGACCTCTAGTTTTTATTCGATTTATTTGTGTGAATGCTTTATTTAGTATATAATATAATTATGGATTGGGATTTATTAATATCATGGTATTAAATCGGTGTAATGATATTTTCAATAATATAAAATATAAATTTAGTTGATTCAATTATTATATTTAATAATACTATATTTGCGAATTAATTATGTGTACACCAAGTGTTACTTAATCTAAGTTTTTCTAGATATATTATTTTATCATACAGATTTACATGTATTTTAAATATTATTTTAACGTTAAAATAAAATAATATGATGAATTATTAAATAATTTAAAATTTGTATGAAATCTAATTAGTAATATTATCGAATATAATGATTTTATTAATAAATTTTGCATTCTATAAAAAAATATGTAAAGTATTCTTTTATTAATTTAACACTAAAATATCAACGAATCTTGATATAGCAGTTGAATTTATGTGTAACTTTTAAAATAATATACAACATTGTATACAATTTACTAGTCTTGAATTTATCAATTAATTTTATGTCAAAATAAATCATACTTTAGACAATTTACTAAAATTAAAAATGTTTCACTTTTTTTTCATTTTAAACACCATCTATCCACATAACACTCTTATTCAAAATCTTATAAACATAAAAAACACTTCAGTTACATTAAAGCATCATTCAACCTCAAAAGATGGAGATTTATAAAAGAAATATTATTACCGGGTGAATTAATATATATATATATATATATATATATATATATAAAGATCTATTTTATTAAAAATA